AGGGAGTCCAATACGCGGAGCCCCCCAACCAAAGGAGTCCAAGGCCTGGAGCCCCCCAACGAAAGGGGCCCCCCCAATGAAGGGAGTCCAAGGCCTGGAGCCCCTCAACACACAGAGCCCCCCAACCAGAGGAGTCCAAGGCCTGGAGCCCCCCAATGCACGGAGCCACCCCCCCCAGTGCACAGAGGTCTCAAATCTATGGAACCCCCATCAATCCGCGGAGCCCCCAATGGAAGGAAGCTGCGGCTTGGAGCCCCTCAATGCAGGGAGGTCCCCAATGTACACAGAGCCCCCCAATACACGGAGCCCTGAATTGGAAACGCCTCTGGAGTCGGAGTCGGAGTCGGAGTCGGAGTCGGAAGAGGAAGAGGAAGAAGAAGAAGAAGAAGAAGAAGAAGAAGAAGAAGAAGAAGAAGAAGGACTGTGGGGTCCTCGGTGGGCTATGAGTCTGGTGCTTTCATTGCAGAGGTTTCGTGACCCAACTAGGGAACACCATCAGGAACAGGAGGAGGAGGAGGAGGAGGAGGAGAATGTGGGGTCCTCGGTGCGCTACGAATCTGGCGGTCCCCTTGCAGATGTCTCGGGACCCAACTAGGGAACGCCATCTGCTCCTCTCTCCCTTCCGGCACTGCACGACTGACGTTCCCTAGTCCGGCTCCGAAACGTCTGCAAGGAAAGCCCCCCCACCTCCTCCAGCTCCGAGACCCCCGCCCAAGGACCCCCACATCCTCGGTCGGCTGGGGAATTCTGGGAGTTGGAAGTCCACCCGCCTTTCCAAGGCCTTTCCAAGGCCGGGAAACCCGGTTCGAAGGCGGCGAGCCTCACGACTTCGGATCCCTGCCGCCTTCTGGGAAGGCTGGCTGGGGACGATGGGACTTGCCATCCTACGGGATCCAGCGCGATCCTCTTGACCTCGCGATTTTCAATTCCAGGGTTGAAGTCCGGGGCGGCGAACGCTAGAACTACGGGGGAAACTTCAATCCGCGCCTTCCCGACCAGAATTCCTATTCGTGGAGGTTTGCTCCCTTTTCCGACTTAGTGAATCGCGGCGGTCCTTAAATGAGTCGCCCGGTTCTTAAGCGAGCCAGGCTACCGCCTCGCCGACTTCCTTCGCCGGAAGGTCGCAAAAGGGGATCGCGCGGAACCCCCGGGACGCTGCGTCCGTTGCAGACGCGACTCGGTGGCCGAGCGGACGGGGGGAGAGCGCAACGGTCGTTAAGCGTGGAAAGCGGAAAGAAGTCCCTTTTTTTTTCCCGGGCCGTCGTGACACCGAGCAGTCACTAAGCCAACTGGGGTTAAAGTAGCGAGAACGATTCACCAGTGGGACGACGGGCCCCCTAGAAATGGCGGATGCTCCGTCACTGGGGGCCTTTTAAGGACGGATCGGACAACCATGGGCAGGGGGTTGGACTAGATGACCTCTGGGGTGCCCTTCGGATTGGTGCAATTCTATAGAACTCTCCCGCTTGAGCAGTGGGTTGGACTGGATGACTTCCCAGGTCCCCTCCAACCCTGTCTTCCTGTGATTCTCTAAGATTCTCTTGCTTAAGCAGGGGGTTAGACTAGATGACCTTCAAGGTCCCTTCCAACTCTGGTATTCTATCATTCTGTAACAGTCTCCTGCTTGAGCAGGGGGTCGGACTAGATGACCTCCAGGGTCCCTTCCAACTCCCTCCTTCTGTGATTCTCTAAGGTTCTCTTGCTTAAGCAGGGGGTTAGACTAGATGACCTTCAAGGTCCCTTCCAACTCTGGTATTTTATCATTCTGTAACACTCCTGCTTGAGCAGGGGGTTGGACTAGATGACCTCCAGGATCCCTTCGAATTGTGTAATTCTGTAAAAGTCTCTGCTTGAGCAGGGGGGCTGGACTAGGTGACCTCCAGGATCCCTTCCAACTCTGGTATTCTATCATTCCGTAACGGTCTCCTGCTTAAGCAGGGTGTTGGACTAGTTAACCTCCAAGGTCCCATCCAGCACTGTACTTCTATAAGGGTCTCCTGCTTGAGCAGGGGGTCGGACTGGATGACCTCCGGGGTCCCTTCCAGCTGTATTCTTCTCTGATTCTATAAGGTTCTCTTGCTTAAGCAGGGGGTTAGACTAGATGACCTCCAGGGTCCCTTCGAATCGTGTAATTCTATAAAAGTCTCTGCTTGGGCAGGGGGTCAGACTAGATGACCTCCAAGGTCCCCTCCAATTCTGTTAAGGGTCTGCTGCTTGAGCAGGGGGTTGGACTGGATGACCTCCAGGGTCCCTTCGAACTGTGTAATTCTATAAAAGTCTCTGCTTGGGCAGGGGCTCAGAGTAGATGACCTCCAAGGTCCCCTCCCAACCTGTCCTCCTAGGATTCTGTCAGGGCGTCTCCTCCTGGAGCAGGGGGTTGGACTGGATGACCTCCAAGGTCCCTTCCCAACCTGTCCTCCTAGGATTCTGTCAGGGTGTCTCCTCCTGGAGCAGGGGGTTGGACTGGATGACCTCCAAGGTCCCTTCCCAACCTGTCCTCCTAGGATTCTGTCAGGGTGTCT